ATATATATATATATATATATATATATATATATAATTATATAAACATAATATATAATTGTTCTTAAAATTGTTCTTGTTTTCCAAATATCTACTTAATTCTTTTCTTGTTCTAGATATAATATATATAAAGATATATTATAAATAATAACACTTCATAGGACTATTATGAAAGGAATAATCGACAAAAAAAACTATTTACTAATTACTAAAAGTATTGTATCTAGAACAAAAGAAAATGATTAAGTGGATATTTGTAAAACAAAAACAATTTTAAGAACAATTATATTTTGCAATTAAATCATAGAAAATAAATCAGAATGATGCGTTCTAATTTTGTTCTGATATCATATGATTTTTTTTTACGATGATAATTGTCGTAAATTGTCTGCAGTAATAATAATGGTACAGTAATAATAATATAATAAACATAAATAATAACTATGCATACTAATAATATAATAATAATAATATAATAACCATAAATAATAACTATGCATAATAATAATAATAATAATATAATAACGGCGCGTAATAATAATAATAATTGTGCATAATAATAACCACATTCTATCATACTATGTTATATTTGATATAACTATGTGATATTTTGATATATTACAATTATAGTCAGCTGAAAATAATGAAATAGCGCTTTTAAATTCTTCGAACGATTTAACCGTCTCGCATTCGATCGACTTATTTATAAAATTTGCGCATAAAGTTTGCGCAAATCAAGGTTCCATTCTATTTCGAATATTACATAAATCCTATCAGAGAGGATCCAGCGTGTCCATCGATCGCGTTCGCAGCTCGTTACGCCGGCAAAGCAAATCGGTCAATCGTAAATCGGCGGCCGCGTCCGTGGACAAACGCGATCGGCGTTTGGCGGCCAGTCGCTCTCGAATCATGGCGCCGCATCAAGAGTCGTTTTTCGAACGCGTCGCGCGGCACGGGCGCCCGCGCGCGAGATATAGGGGCGCGAGGGAAGTTGGCCAGCCTGTGTCTCAGGAGGTGGCCGACTGAGAGTAATTTCGTGGCTCCGGGTTATATTTAAACGGGAACAATGCACCTGATCTGGAAATTCGCGGTTGCAGCCGCGCCGCGAGCAACGCCGCCGCGCATTTTCACAGAGAATACGGGACCAGGTATCCACATTTTCCGCGGCTGTGCGTAATTCGACTGCCGCGTAATTCCAACGAAAAGATTGTGCGACGACACTGCGCGCAGCGTTCGACTCGGCGAGAACTCGGATTTCGCGGATATCTGATCGAGATCGACCACCGGCGAATATTTCTCGCGATCCCGAGATATTGTGATCGCTGTAAATTTCGGAGCCGGAGCGAACGTTAGATCAATCATTTTGTGGAGGATCGATCGGCGAACGATCGACTCAGTTCAGTGATAACGCAGGAATTTTTAGTGATTCGGAGCTGGATTTTCGGCTTCGAGGAAACTTCTGATATTTATTTCGATGTTTAGATTTAGCTGGAATTTTTAACAATAGTTGTAATATTTATATTTGTAAATATAAAGATAAAGATAAAATATTTATATTCATAAATATGAAGATAAATATAAAATATTTGTATTTATAGATATGAAGATAAATATAAAATATTTGTATTTATAAATATGAAGATAAATATAAAATATTTATATTTATAAATATAGAGATAAATATAAAATATTTGTATTTATATATATATAAAGATAAATATAAATATGAATAATAATATTTATATGTAAAAATATAGATATAAATAATTATATTTATATTTATAAATATAAATATGAATAATAATGTTTATATGTAAAAATATATAGATATGAATAATAATATTTATATGTAAAAATATATGGATATAAATAGTAATATTTATATTTATAAATATAAATATTTATGATATTTACAAATATATTTATATTTCGCGAGAATTCTTAGAAACGTATGTTTCGGATGTCAGGAATTTTCGAAAGTTCAAAGTCCAAGCTCGATACTTTTTCAAAGCGATTTCAAAGCGCTTTTCGTTATTTTTAGCGCTAAATGTGTACTCCAGAGTGGAATATTCATGTGAATGTTTTCGATTAGTTCATGTTCTCAACGTACAACCCTTCTGTGAAACAATTCGACGCGAATATTAATAATAGTGACGGTGTCAGGACTGCGCATACTGTTTGAAAAATTGCAAATTAATAAATAATATTTTTTACTTTATTTTAATCCATAATTAATTAAATTGTAATTGTAATTAATTTATCATTATATATAATTAATTCAATTTATATTTCATTTATAATTATAATTATAATTACTTTCATTTTTTTATATTTCATTTGTAATTAAAATAACTAAAATGCACTAACAATTAGCGTTTTAAAAAGATCCTCGCGCCTAAAGGGTTGATCCTAAAATTGAAACTTTCGATTATTCTGCTCTATTAATAGTAAACGCCGTTGGCTCTCGCCAGAAAGCGAATAATTAATAAACGAAATACTAAATAATTAACTAAATAATTAACAAACGAGATAATTAGATAACTAACAAACGCTAGAAAAAAAATATACTACCGTTCGTTAATTTCACGGCAGCCACAGCTGCGTCCACTCGAATCCAAGCGCGTAAATTTTTTTCCTGCGTATTTTTCCATTTATTCCATTATTCGAGTTCAACGTTGCATCCGATCGAGGTCAACTAATAAAATCGAACTAGCTGCTAGAAAATAATATAATTCGATTGGATCGTTCGTAGAGGCCACTGACTAAAAAAAACGTTATTAAATGTTATTAGTGGTCCAACGGTACTAACGGCGTTAAAAAATAGAATAAATTGCGTTCGGGGAAATTCGATCGGCTGAATCGAGCGTCTACTTTTCAGATCCAATGGCTGTTTAACGATCGACCCGTCCATGGCAAGGATTTCTTGGTGTCGGTCAGCGGGGATCGTCAGGTGCTGACCATTCCGGAGACCGGAAGCACGCATGCCGGCACTATTTCCTGCGTGGCGGAGAACGCTGCTGGCAAAGCGATTTGCAGCGCTCGTCTAGATATTGGTAAGTTTCTCGCAAATCTATGAAATAACTCGGAAACGTTCGCGGAAAGAAGTCCATTAGCGAATGCTTTTAATTCGGAACTTTTTAATGCTCGCTGTTTCTGACGGACATTTACGTGGAATAATGATCGATTTTTGTTGCAATCGAAAAAAATAATATAATAATTATACGTCAAAGACACGATTCGAATTTTATTCTGTTAGAAACGTTTAATATTCGCATTCAGGTGTTAAGAGAATTTTATTCTGTTAAAAATGTTTAATATTCGCATTGAAATATTAAGAGAATTTTATTGTTCTAAAAATGTTTAATATTCGCATTCAAATATTAAGAGAATTCTATTCTTTTAAAAATGTATAATATTCGCACTTAAATTGTATTCTTTTAAAAAATGTTTAATATTCGCATTAACATGTTATTGTATTAAAAATGTTTGATATTCGCATTAAAATTTTACTCTTAAAAATATTTAATACTCGCCATACAATTTTATTATTTAAAAAATGTTTAATATTCGCATTAAAATATTAGTTTCTTAAAAATATTTAATATTAGCATTAATATTTTAGTTCCTTAAAAATATTTGTATAATCATTAATATTTTACTTTCTTAAAAATATTTGTATAAGCATTATTATTTTACTTTCTTAAAAATATATAATATTAGCATTAATATTATAGTATCTTAAAAATATTTAATATTAGCATTAAAATTTTATTCTATTAAAAATATGTAACACTCGCAAAAATATTTAAAGCTCGCCTCTCGAGATATCGATTTCAATTTTGAACATTCATTCGCACATCGCGATTTTTACCAATTTAAATCCAAAACGTTCGCATCGTCGATTTTAATCCGAAAGCAACCCCCTCGTCGCAGGGGGCGGGGGGTAGTATTACCGAATATTCGGCTTTCTTATTCGATTGGACACGTCGTTCGAATTTTCCATAGACTATAAACGGTGGCGTCGGTGGTCCGAGATGCCTCGGTTGCGCGTCTATTCGCGTTGCGGTCGTTAAAATTCCAGGTGGTGTGCCGTCGCCGATCGTAGAGAATCATATTTCGAGGCTGCCGGTTATCTTTTTCGTCCCGTCGCGTCGATCTTTCGGTTCGGCAACGATTTTTATTGCCGCCGCGGTGTTGCGTTGAAATCCGTTTACGCGCGTTGCCAGAATATCGTCGTATCGGCCGCAACGGTGCCACGGGTTATTAATAAACGTACGGCCGAGTCGCATGGCGGCGGCGACTTCATTCACGACGTGGCCGACGCATGCCCGTCCCGACGCGTCCCGTCGCGTCCCGTCGCAACCCCTCGCGTCCCCCCGCGTCCCACCGCGTCTCGTTGCGTTCCGTCCTGTCCCGTCCTGTCCCGTCGCGTCCCGTAGCGTCCCATCGCGTCCCCTCGCGTCCCGTCGCATCGCGTCGCGTACCCTCGCGTCCCGTCGCATCACGTCGCGTACCCTCGCGTCCCGTCGCATGGCGTCGCATCCCTCGCGTCGCGTACCCTCGCGTCCCGTCGCATCGCATCGCGTACCCTCTCGTCGCGGCCCCTCGCGTCCTGCCGCGTCCCGCCGTATCGCGTCGCGTCGCGGACCACTGTCATTTCGTTCTCGTTGAGCGACGAGAAAGATGAGACACGATATTTCGATACCCGCGCAGCTCGCGTACGCGCGAGCGCCGAGAGGACGACGTTGCGACACAACGCGCACGGCTAAGCCGTGAAATTCGACACCGTTCTCCAACACCGACCTCACCGAAATCGCGACGTTCGATTTGCCGGCCGCCGCGAGATCGTTTGCGGACGCAAACTATGCATTCGCGAGCCAAACGTTTTCTACCTGGGAAAACCGATGTGCCGGTATTCCCGTTCGTTAGGGTAAATTGGATCGTACTAATTGATTGTTGGTTCACGTGATAAAGAATTGTTCTCAGTTTATTTTTGTCATTTCGTAGTTTATTTATGCAATTTCTCATTTTGTTTTCGTAATTTCTTGTTATTTGTTAGTTTATTTATGCTGCTTGTTGGTCTATTTGTGCTATTTGTTAGGCTATTTGTGCTATTTGTTAGTCTATTTATGCTATTTCTTATTTTATTTATTCTATAAACATTCTATTTATACAATTTATTATTCTATTTATTCTACATCTTGTTCTGTTTTTGTGATTCCTTATTCTATTCTTGTAATTTCTTATTTCATTTATGCTATTTCTTATTTTATTTATACAATTTATTGATCTATTTATGCTATTTCTTATTTTATTTTTGCTATTTCATATTCTATTTATGCTATTTCTTGTTCTGTTTTTCTATTTCCTTATTTCCTTATTTGCAAACAATTTGGAATACTTGAAATTCGTTAAAACTGCGACTGCCGCGAACAATTGAATACTTCGCGAGGGGCAGAGTGTCATGGATTAATTTATCCCCGAAATTACGCGAGTCCGCGGTCGATGAATAACAAACTTTCTGCCAAGGTACAGGTTGGAAATAGTAGCTGAATATTTCGGAGAGACGCTAAGCTCGAGGAAATGTCGCAAATAGACCGGGAATCCCTCTACATATATGGCGTGTGCGAATAAAGTAGGACTTGTAGCTCGATTCTTCAAAAATTACTATAAACTAAAAAAGTTAAACTAAACTAACTAAATATATATATATATATATATATATATATATATATAAAATAATATATAAAAGTATGTATAATATAAATAAGATATATAAAATATATATATATATATATATATATATATATATATTATATATTTTATATATATATTTAGTTAGTTTAGTTTAGCTTTTTTAGTGTATAGTAATTTTATATATAGCTAAACTATATTATAAAAGCTATATATATGTAGTATATATGTATATATAAAGTAATATAAAACAGCTGTTTTTTCGTGCTCCGTGAAGCTAGAGTCAACAGCGAATCGAAACGTCCTTATTATTTTTCCCATCGCCGCTCTCGCTTCATCTTTTCATCGAACAAATCGAACATTAATATTCCAGATCGCGCGTCGGAGTGCAAAAATTTCGACACGTCTCGGTTAATTGAATATCAGCGTTTCGAATGTATGTATGTATGTATGTAGCTGTCGGTCCCTTTTGATACGGATTTAGTTTCGCCGCGGTCAAATGATATTCCTCCGATCCATTACCGCGAACCCGGTGTTATATGGACGGGAGGGTCTTATTTTTAACCGGGCCGACTAAACAAACTTCTTTTCTCTTCTTTCACCGGCAAAAAGTCACTTTTGAGTCACGACTAATATTAGGTCGGCGCGCATGCCGCGGCAATTAAATCTGACGTTTCGTACGCCCACCTGTACGCGCCTATGTATGTATGTATGTATGTATGTATGTATGTATGTATGTATGTATGTATGTATGTATGTGTGTGTGTGTGTGTGTGTGTGTGTGTGTGTGTGTGTGTGTGTGTGTGTGTGTGTGTGTGTGTGTGTGTGTGTGTGTGTGTGTGTGTGTGTGTGTGTGTGTGTGTGTGTGTGTGTGTGTGTGTGTGTGTGTGTGNGTGCAGGCGTAACCGTGCGAAAACATTTAGCCGGCAGTAGCGCCGCGTGCATTAGCGGCAAGCAGTTCTCTCTGATCTTCAATTCGGCGATGACTGGGTCTAGCGGGACCCGCGCCGCCACGTTATTAGAACCACGCGTTATTGAATTTTATGGATTCACGACGAAGATGAGAGCTGGTGGTTTCGCATTTTCAAATGCAAAATTCTATGCATTTTTAATGTATTTTTTATGTATTTATTTGGATTTTACAGACTTTTTATGCATTTTATATATTTATTTGCATTTTATGGATTTTATGCATTCATTTGCATTTTATGGATTTTATATATTTACAATGAAAATGGCTTGGTGGAATTTAATTCAACATGAAAATTGAATGAACTTATTGAATTGAATGAATTTATTTAGGTAATGTTCGTCGTAATCGATGGAAATGAACAATATATTTTGTCTACAGATGAAAAATGTGTGATTACGGTGTATAATATTTATAATATACATTT